CACATGTGGATGTGCGAAGTCATGTGGTGTGTGCAATTGTGTGGTGTGCTGTGCATGTGTGGATGTGCGCAGTCATGCGTTGTGTACGTGCGGTGTGTGCAGTCACGTGGCGTGTGCTGTGCACGTGTGGACGTGCGCAGTCACGTGGTGTGTGCTGTGCACGTGTGGACGTGCGCAGTCATGTGGTGTGTGTTGTGTTCGTGTGGTGTGTGCAATTGTGGTGTGTTGTGCACGTGTGGATGTGCGCAGTCATGCGTTGTGTACGTGCGGTGTGTGCAGTTGTGTGGTGTGTGCTGTGCACGCGTGGACGTGCGCAGTCGTGTGGTGTGTGCTGTGCACGTGTGGATGTGCGCAGTCACGTGGCGTGTGTTGTGTACATGTGGATGTGCGCAGTCACGTGGTGTGTGCTGTGCACGTGTGGATGTGCGCAGTCATGCATTGTGTACGTGTGGATGTGCGCAGTCATGCGTTGTGTACGTGTGTTGTGTGCAGTTGTGTGGTGTGTGCTGTGCACGTGTGGACGTGCGCAGTCATGCGTTGTGTACGTGTGGTGTGTGCAGTTGTGTGGTGTGTGCTGTGCACGTGTGGACGTGCGCAGTCATGTGGCATGTGCTGTGCACGTGTGGATGTGCGCAGTCACGTGGCGTGTGCTGTGCATGTGAGGATGTGCGCAGTCACGTGGCATGTGTTGTGTACATGTGGATGTGCGCAGTCACGTGGTATATGCTGTGCCTACAAGGGGAGAGCAGAAGGCAGTAGAGGAAGAAGGGAAGGGCCCTAAGGAACTGACACCCAGAGGCCACAGGGTGCGGCTGACTCAGGCCCTATGTCCACCCCAGGCCAGGGCCCAGCTCCTGGGCTGCCCACGCCAGCTCTGCTCACAGGCACCCCTGGTGCCACTTCAGGCTAACAGCACCCTTGTCGAGGACGGACAGGAGTGGGCGGCCCTGTGGGGGAGGGCAGGCCGAGCCTTACTGGGGAAAGCCAGACCATCTGTGCCTGCGGCGTGGTTCCATCTCAGTACAGCTGCTCAGCCCCGATGGCCGTGTGAGGCCATGGCTGGACCACAGAGGCCAAGGACAAAGGGCTGGAGACCTCTAACAGACACAGGGTGGGCATCTGTGACGGCAAGAATAGAGGGCAGTGCGTCTGGCTGGGAGGCTGAGGCGAGCTCTGTGACTGCTGTGCCCCAGCCCCGGCTCGAAGCCGCCACTGGGCTGTCCCCAGACTGTCCAGCACGGAATGGAGCAGCAGTGGAGCCAGCCACTCGCCCTGGAACGACGTGGCTCCCTGTCACTGGGCTCGCAGCCCTGTGCGGACAGGACGCCCGGGTGTCAGGACAGAGCTGGAGCAGGTGCACAGGATACTGGGAGGAGACCGAGAGACGGCTGCCCGGCTCTAGGGCTGCACATCAGTGGCACTGTGTGACACAGCCCCCAGGGGAGACAGCAGCCTGCCCACAGTGTAGGGGCCCAGAACAGGATGGAGCCTGATCCTGCCACCCTGCCCACCGCCCATCAGAAACTAATCTGGATGCCAAGCCCAGCCTCACGGCCCCTCTCTCCCTCCCTCCAGAGCACACCCCGCCTCCCCTTCCATGGCTGTACACACGCCTCACAGGAGGTGCCAGGCGTGGACCTGACACCCCAATGACAGGCCCATGGAAGGTTGGGGTGGTGGGATTGCCCCTCCTCCCTCCTCTGTCCTACCCCAGGGCTGTGCACACTCCCGAGAGGGATGGGCAGGGCAAGCCAGGGGGGGTTGGGGGGTGGGGGGGACCCGGCCAGCACAGGCGGACACACACCTGGGCCCACTTCCTGCTGCGGCTCTGCATCTGGACTGTGGCGATGGCGGCGAAGAGCTGGTCGGGCGGCAGCTGGTCGGGCAGGCGGGTGAGGAACTGGGCCATGTGGATGAAGTCCATGCTGGCCAGCACGTCCTGGAAGAGCCGCAGCAGGCCCAGCGCGGTGCGGAACAGGAACTCTTCGCCGTCCCGGCAGAACACGTCCCACACGCGGCACGCCAGGTCGAGCGGCAGGGACCTGCTGTACAGGGTGAAGATCCTGCAGACAGGGGACAGCAGACCAGGCCCTGTGGCCCCAGAGGCCCCCAAAGGCGGGGCGCCAGGCAGGGCCAGTTCCTTGGGGGGTGGGAGAGGCTGGCATCAGTCAGACAGTCAGACCGTCAGCCCTCTGCCTAGTAAGCAGGAGTGGCCCAGGGCACACAGTCTTGCAGGGGTCAGCAAGGGGCAGAGGACAGTGAGCAGTTGAGTGGGCCCTCTCGGGTAGGGCCAGGCCGAGGCATGCTAGAGCGCGAGCCCGAGGCTGGGGCCGCTGTCCTCCTCTCCGCTTGCTCACAGAGATCACCCTGCCCCAGCTGCCACCATGGCGCATGGGCCACGCCTCCCGCAGCCGGGGTCCCAGCAGGCAGCGGCTGTCCTCTCGGCCTACAGTGCAGCCTGCAGTCCAGCCAGGCAGCAGCACTGCCCCCATGGTGCTGAGTCACCACAGCAGGGCTGTCCCAGGAGCCACAGGGTAGGGGACACGGGCAGGGTGCGTGGCAGGGCCAGGGCCCCTGAGCCCTAAGACACTTCAGGGGGCAGGCGGGGCGATACTCTGGGAACATGGAAGACTCAGGCTTACCAATCAATTAGGTAGATGTCTGGAGTTAGGTTGTTTTTCTTGAAATGGGCGAATAGTTTGGGCAAGTTTTCTTCGAAGAATACCTCAAATGCAGCAAAATACGTCAACATCTGGGAGATAACGGAAACGGCCATGAAGGGGCAGCCACCGCCCGACGCAGGGAACCCACACGCTCTGCCCCCAGGGCTGCGGGCACAGTCGAGCCACAACGCTCCACACGTGGGCAGTGCTATGCTCCGGCCACCTCTCCTGACCTCTGCCTCTTCCGACAGGAGACCGACCCCTGGCGCTCAGGGATGGCCTCCCCCACTCGCAGGAAGCAGAGCTACCGTCCGCTACCCAAGGTCAGCGGCAGTGTCTGAGGGGAGGCCGCCTCGCTCCAGCCCGACTACACAGAGCCTGCAGGCAGGCGGGGGGTTGGGGCGGGGTTCACAGGCTCAGTGGCCCGCTTCACAGACTGTCTCTCAAGAGGGATGACTTTGCTCTCAGGGACCCTGGTAAACACCCCACTTTTGATGGGTCACAACTGTGGGGGACAGGTTTGGCTTCTGGAGGGCGCAGACTGGGGACACTGTTCACATGGATGTTGTGAGCAGACTTTTGCCCACAGCCCCGCCGGGACCCTTCCAGCGAAGCGCTGGCATCCAAAGTTCTGTGCTGGTCACACGTTCCCAGAGTGCGTGGGGTGCAAAGCTGACCGTTTCCACAGAAACCCTCTTGGTGTGACTGCACACCAGGACGGGTCCCTGGGGTCGGCAGGAGGACAGGCCTCTTCCACACGCAACCTCCATTTCCTGGAGCTCTGGTGGCACCATGGGTAGGGCGCTAGGCAGCGAAGTAGGAGGTCAGCTGTTCAAACCCCCCAGCTGCTTCGGGACCAAGAGCACGAGCGGCAGCCTCGGAAACCACAGGCGTTCTGCACCCCCCCAGAGCCAGCTCGATGGCAGCAGGCCGGCGTGCAGAGGGTGAAGTGGGGCTGCTGATAGCCACTGGCCGAGTGGTAGTTTCCAGTACTCTGACCCGAGAACGTGTGGAGGTCTGAGGGAGAGCAGCTTAGCAGCCGCCAACAACTTCAGCAGACTGGGACCCAGAGCACCAACCGCCCCCCCCCCACGCCTCTCATCCCACCCCCCACCCCAGCTTCTGAGACCCATATCCAAACCACAAACTACACGCAGCCCGCAGCCCCGACCCCCACCCCGGCCCGGCCGAAGATGCACACACTGCCTCAGCTCTCGATGAAGGCCAGCGACTGTTAGCGGACCAAAAAAGCTGATAGACTTGGGTCCTGGGGTTCTTGGGGCTACAGGGCATGGGTTTGGGGACCGAGGGACCCCCAGAGTGAGCCGCATCCACACATGCACAAGCAGACGCCCCCAGCAGCATGCTGGGTAGTGGGGGGCAGTCACTGCACGCTGTCCTCCACACGAGGACACCACACTGTCAGGTCTTCTCTCGGGACAAAGCCCACATGGGCGGCTGGCTGTTTACTCTACAAGGTGGGGGTGCATGGGCGTGTCTGTGCTGGAGCCTCGCCGGCCCTAGTTTAAACAGTGGCTTTTCAGGAAGACTCGCCTGCCCACAGGGCTCACCAAACACTCTCATGTTCACTAGTCGTCACTCAGCTTCAAACTCACGTCACTGCAACCCCACGGGGCTGCCTGACAGCACTGCCACCCTCCCCCACGTGCTGCAGAGGCGGCCACGCCAGAGGGCCCCCACACAAAACCACAGTCTGACAGGGGTACCAGACACACACACACACACGCACGCACGCACGCACACACGACACGCACGGGGCTGTCGTCCATGAGCGCCATCTGATGGGGTGCACACACACATCACGCGCGTACACACACACACACACACACACACGCACATCCCCAGGGCACACTCACGAGGCCGTGGTCCACAGGCAGGGTAAGCACGCCCACACTCACTCACACCGCCCACAGAGGGCACTCACGAGGCCGTGGTCCACCCGGAAGAACGCCATCTGGCAGGGCTTATTCAGGAGGTTTGAGAAGGCGATGAAGGCGTCTGCCGTGTCCAGGTTCAGGATCAACACAGCGGCGATGAAGGACATGCCCTGGACCTGGGGGTGGGGGAGTGGGGGGGCCGCTCAGAGCTGTGTGGCCACTGCCCCCCAGCCTGGACCCATGCTCAGTCCCGTGTGCAGCAGTCACCAGGACAGGACCAGCTGCTCTGCCCCTGCCCAGTGAGCCCACCCATTGCTGTGCACAGCATCTGGGAGCCCTGGGTGTACATGCCCAGCTGCGGGTGCTCCACCTGAAGCCACATGCCACATACACGGTACCCACACACCGTGCACACGTGTACACTGACACGCCACACATACCCCCCCCCACACTACATGCGTGCGCCCACACACACCACCCACCCACACCACAAACATGCAGACCCACATACCACACAGGTACACACTGTCAAAACACCTCACATGCCTTACACAGTTCACACACTATATACATGTGCACCCACTCACAAAATACATACCTACCCACAACCACACACATGTACACCCCACACCACACACAGAAACGACCTCTATACCGTACACACATGCATCACACAGGCACATCACACCCGTGTCTCACACACATGTACAGACCACACACCACACACACACACGCAGACACGACCTATACACCGGACACACATGCATCAGATACACATCACATCCATGTGTCCCCCACAAATGTACAGACCACACACATACACCCCCACACCACACACACACACAACCTCTACACCATACACACATGCATCAGATACATGTCACCCCATGGGTCCCTCACTCACGTAGCCCACGTCCGGCCGATAACAAGTGTAAGCCCCCAGGACACTGTGCAGCATGTCGTGGTACGGGCCGCCCTAGGTCAACACAGCAAAACACACGCATATGAGTATGCGCGGGCCACACAGCCTGCAGCCCACCCATGGCTGCTCCTCCACCGAGCCACCGTCATTTCCGGACCGCACTCTGGACTCGGCTGCAGGCCATGCAGGAGAGCCCGGGTGGCACCCTGTGGGCTCTAAGCACCAGGTCAGCAGGGAAAGAGGCTTCTGCACGCCGTGAAGTGATGGCCACAGAAGCCCACAGGAGCAGTGCCAACCTGCCCTCCAAGGCAGCTCTTTGGGGGTTTGGTGGGTGGTGTCTTATCAGAGCCACTGTTGTACCCCCAACTCACTCCTCCTCTGGCCTGGTCTCCTCTTTTGTTTCTCTACTTAAATGCTTAGAAAATATGTCTGCAGTCTAAGACCTGCCACTTCACAGGGCTGTCCCAGAGATGGCTGCTCAGGGTGAGGGTACAGTTGGGTGCAGTCCCAAGGATGGCCCCCCTGGGGGAGGAGGGTCCCAGGGACAGCCTAAGGAAGTGTCAGGGGGCCAGAGACTGTCCTCAAAGCCAGGCTCACAGACCGGGAAGCCACCTGTGCCCTTCCTGGAAGCCCCTGACCGGGGACATGCCAGCAGACTTCGGGGCCCAGAAGTGAGAGTCTGAGCCCCACCGTGTAGGCTGCACCAGAGCAGGCTGGTCCAGGGAGCACTGGGGTGGCAAGGAGGGCAGGACGACCCAGAGGCCGACACCCTGGTTTTTGGGGCCAGCTATTTGGGTACCATGTCCACTCCAGTGGGCTTCCTCTTATGCTCTGTCTCCTGCCCCACGTGCTGGCCCGGTCTGCGGCTGTCCCTGCCCTATGCCAGGCCAACTGGTCCCTTCGCAGCAGCACTGAGTGCTCTCCCTCAGGCATGGAGTGGCCCCTGCCCGTGCCAGCTCAGAGCAGTGCCCACGCTTAGTTAGCGCCTGTCCCAGCTTAGAGCAGTGCCTGCGCTTGGTCAGCACCGGTGCCAGCTCAAAGTAGTGTTTGCGCTCAGTCAGTGCCCAAGCCAGCTCAGAGCAGTGCCCGTGCTTCGTAGCCAGCTGGCTCGCAGCCGAGGCTGCACTCACCCTGCAGGGAACGTAGCAAGTCATTTTCCAAGGGGACCGAGACGCTGATGTCCTGGCCCTCTCAAAGTCTCACAGCACCAACCGTGAGGTCTCCCCTCACCCTTAGCCCTCTCCCGCTGTGACCCAGGCCCGTGCCACTGCACACTGGGACCCGGGCCATGCCGCCCGCTGTGACCCAGGCCACGCCACTGCACACTGTGACCCGGGCCGTGCCAGTGTACACTGACCCAGGCTATACCAGCGCACACTGTGACCCGGGCCGTGCCAGCGTACACTGACCCAGGCTATACCAGCGCACACTGCGACCCGGGCGTGCCCACCTGCTGGAAGATGCACAGGCTGGGGAATGTTCTGGAGATGTCCAGCTTGATCAGCTCCAGGCTGGCTTCTCGGTCAGCCGCTGGGAAGCCGGCATCTGTGGAGAAGCCACGGAGTCACGGGTGGTGACGGGCACACATACCCAGCTGCTCCCAGCCACGTAGCACTGAGATTATGGGCCTGTGTGGAGGAGCACTTGCTGCAGCCACCATCTCTGGCCTGGCATCAGAGTGTCACCTGACTTTAGCTCTCAGCAAGTAGGCAGGAAGAGCAGTAGCACATGGGCAGTGCCCGTCTGGGCCCGGGACCCCAGAGCCACACCTGGTGCACAGTGGCGGCAGTGTGACTGCAGAGCCCAGGCTCGCCCCTCAGTGACTCCCGAGTCCCAGCGGCTCACAGCCCCTCCTTGACGGGCAGGCGGGGGCTCCAGAAGCATGCCTGCTCGCTTTCTTTCCGCAAGCAGCTGCACGCTCTCAGGACGGCCCAGTCAGGGCTGCATGGCTGCTTCCCACACACGCTTCCTCTACCCTATGAGGCCCCCACGCACAGCCAGCACCCCCGCCATAGAGCGAGCTCTGCAGTTCAGCCACAGGGGCTGAGCTGCGCCCACCACAGGCTCGGCTACACGCACCTTCGCTCTCCGTGTCCGGGCCCCCAGTGCTCAGGGACCGCCAGCGCTCCTTGGCTCGGGCCAGGCAGATGTCAAAGAGCTCTGTGGGCAGAGAAAGGAGCCTCAGTTAACTCGGGCAGCACACCCAGTGCAGCGGGCCGAGGGCGCAGGGAGCAGCGCCGGTGGCTGCAGCGGAGCGGGGGGGCGGTCCAGGGGCTCAGAGCTGGACACTCACTAAGGGGACCAGACTCAGAGCTGGGCACTTGTCAGAGGGGCAGGGGACCCATGTCTGGTGCTCCCAGCAGAAGTCCTGGCCTAACAGGCAGCAGAGCTGAGGTGAAGTGGGCCCACAAAGTGGCCTTCAGCAGGCATAGCACTCAGGGTGGCCCCAGGTGGGTGCCAGGTGCCAGAGCAGAGGGGGCAGGGAGGGCTCACACGAGAGCCGGGGTGAGGGTCCCACTCTGGACAGCCACTCTTTCTCCTGGGCGCAGGCCATGCCTCAAGGAAGACGAGGTCACACCAAACCCGAGAACAAGGCTCAAGCAAACACCATCTGTGGCTGAGTCGTGGTTTGGCTCAGTCTCCTGGGAGGGGCCCTGGCTGGGCCCCGGCTCTCAGTGTGGCTCAGCGCTGTGTGACGGTGAGGTGTGGCAGCCATGGCCATGTTCATGGTGTGCGCGGATGGATCAAGCGGGGGAGGGCTACAGGATGGTAACCTCACCACCTGGTGCTGGGTCAGGAGGAGAGGCAACATTTTTCATCTTATGCGCGATAAAGAGAGAGGCAGGCAAGTGAAGAGAGAAGGGTCTCCTGCCACCAAGGAAGACGGCTGGGAGCAGAGCACGTCCTTTTACCCGGTCCCTGAGCTGGAACCCCTGGACCCAGGGGCAGACTGATGTCCAGACACAGAGGGCGCTCCAAGGAAGGCTGGGCCCGCAGATGCTGAAAGGAGACCAGGGCTTTCCCGAAGGAGAGGAACCTCCACCACCAAGAAAGAAGCGCTGAGAGCAGAGCCTGACCCTTGGAGTTGGGGTCCCTGTGCTGGGAACCTCCTAAACCCAGGGGAAGACCTCCCAGGACTGCGATCACTGTGCCCACAAATGTGGAAAGGAGACCAGGACCCTCCCCAAGAAAGGCAGCCTTCCCCTAGTCATCCTCTAACTCCAGCGCCCCACCCTCAAAGATGCCACGCTTGGTACAGCAGGGGGCAGCAGAAAGAGGAAGCCCAGGACAAGGCGAGTGGCACAGGCCCTGCCACAATGGGCTCACCCACAGCAGTGCTCAGAGGAGGGCCCGGGCCGGGCGGAATTTCATTCTGCTGTGCACAGGGTCGCTGCGGGTCAGAACCAACTACACGGCACTCCTCCTCCTCCACCAAGACCACTGCCCGCCCACCTCTGAGGACCCCCAACCCATTGTAGAGACGCGCCCACCTCTGAGGACCCTACGGTACCCTACAGAGAGCCGGCAGAGAGAAGGACCACCCGCAGTCAGCTCTGAAGGGAGCACGTGGCTGGTCCTGGGCGCCTGAGCTCTGCGAGCCCCAGGCACCACCTCCCAAGGGCGAGGACCTGAAGCAGCGAAGGGGCTCACCGTGGGTGATGTTGAGCTCGTTGCCGATGGCCAGGCTCCAGACACGGCCGCGCACACTGGGCGGGATGCCCTGCCACCAGAGGTCCCGGACCTTTCTAGCGCTCCACCTGGGCAGGAAGCAAGGGAAGGGGTCCTGTCACCCAAGATCAGACCCGGCCCACCCAGGCCCAGTCCTGGCTGGGGAGCCAGCAACAGCTGCTCTGAGTCCCAGCCCCGCCTCCAGGGAGGGGTACTGAAGGCTCCCGGCTTGCGCCCAGGGAGGGGCGGGCGCCATCAAAGCCTCCCACAGGACAGGGCTGCTGGGGGGATGGGGAGGCGGGGCCTCACATGGTGTCCCAGTTGGGCAGGATCTCGTTGTTCCAGGTGAGCACCGCATTCCCGATGCTCTCCTCCAGCCGGCACCGCTCCTCCAGCTGCCTCCGCCGCCGCTGGGCCTCCTTTAGCTCTAGATATGGCAAGGGGGCGCAGGGGTAAGCCACCGACTCGGGCACACCCAGGGGCGCCAAGGGCCAACGCTCAGCCTGGCGCTCACGGCCAGGCCCATGCCACCTCGGGTCAGGCTGCTCCATCTGCACACAACTCAGTCCCCCTCACAGGGCCCGGCATCCCCCCTCTGTGCCCCCTTGGGGCCAGCAGCTAGCACACTGCCTTTGAGTCCCCTCCTCGTCTGGAACCAAAGGTACCATACCAGGACAGGGCTTCCTGCCGCCTGCAACCCCCACCCCCACTCCCGTGGGTCTGGAACCAAAGGTACCATACCAGGACAGGGCTTCCTGCCGCCTGCAAC